CTAAAAAGTATTGTCTTTCAAATTCCGTTGGAATTTAACCTTTTCATTTTTGACCTGCAAATAGGACATAGTACCTTTAAAATTGTCATTGTCATTTACCATGTCATTCATAACATATAAAGCGAACAAAACCGCAGAGAAAGATAGGGAAACAAAGGAAGAAGAAGAAGAAGAAAAGGATTCTGACGAAATTAATAGGTGCTTTGCCACGCTTCGCGGCAGGTCACCTAATTAAGAAAATGAAGGAACGGGATGGGGAGGTGGGGGGGGAAGAAATTATCCACATGTATTTGTTTAATAAATACATTAAACAAGACAAACGTCACTGCGTCGCCTTGATGCCCCCGCCCTATATTCAGTATAACAAATGGATGAAACTATTCGTAAAAGAGGTTGATTTATTTTTCACCTCTAAATTTGTTACGAATTGAGGAAAAAGTAGTTACAAAGTGTTTCAGCTATATAGGTAGAATTACCGGCTATATTTTTTATTTTTTTATTTATTTACCAACAGCAATACAGTAATACATTTTTTACAATGTGTTTACATAAACAAAAATAGAAACTTTTGGTTGGTAAATGGGGCCAGCTAAACGAAGTAATCTTACAAATCAGTATAGAAAACGTAATAAAACAAACAATGAATTTACTATTAAAATCGATACTTTAAAAAAATGAATTCTTAACAATGTCTTACAATGTACAACCTGATAATGTAAAATATAATTTGTGTACATAATTATGCAAATTATTTAGTTCGGGATTTGTTCAGCAAATGACTTATTACAGAATTCCGAAACCTATTTCTAGACCGTCCAAAATTCACTGCCCACAAAAGACAATGAAATTTGACCTTGTGTCATTCTAAATTTTAGAAGGAGATGTTGTCCACCTTGTTTGTCTTGTGGGATAGCTATGCTCTATAATTTCACAGTAATCTATCGAAATATGAGGCAAATTATCATTGACTAGATCAATTATGAAGGTAGAAATTAATAAATCATTTAAATTATACACATTAAGGATTCGCAATCTTAAATAATGACGCTGTAGGAGTTCTCCATTCACTAAGTATTATAGCACGAACTGCCATTTTCTGTTAATACAATATACTTCTTAGGCTAGTCTTATAAGTACGTGTACTTTTGTTTACACTGTAAGAAAGGAAGGGACAATTTAAACAGCACCATCGCATGTTTATTATTATTTCCTTTTTTATATGTTTATTCATTTAAAATGGTCACTATTATATCCGTCCTCCAATTATTACCCCAAACTATTTCACTGGGGCCTACAGCTTTACAAGCTTGCTTTCATGTAGGTCCCATCATAATTTCTCTTAGTTAAATCAGTACTCCATATTGACCACTTATCTTTGTTATGTATTATGTATTATAGAGAAGAAAAAAATTGTACTTTATTTGAAATGTATATGTAACATGAGAAATATGAAAATAAATGAAATGAAATGAAATAAGTGTTACCCCACATCTCTATTCCCGTAAAAAAAATGTGTGGTTGTAAAAATGTTTATAATAATATAAAACTACGGCTAGGAACAAAATGTCGCAATCTAAATAGCACCCTAACTTTCTTTCTAATACACTGATTTACAAAAGGAATATGACTATTCCAAAATAAATTTATATAGATGTGAACCTCAACAAAAATAGCAACACCAACCCCTTTAATTTCCTTGCCAGCGATTTTCAGTTTACCGATCATACCTATTTTTCCTCCTACTGCTCATCAACATGAAATTAAATCAATTGTAAATTTGTTAGCAATGCACCACGTATGCATCTTCTGTATGTTATTATTCACTTCATTTACAACAATTTCACCCTGGTCAGCAGAAAAGGTATGAAATAGGTTGGAATCATCAGCAAACAACCGTAAAGTTAAATAATCAGTAACTGTTGGCAAATTGTTTATATAAATCAAAACAGAGTTGGCCATAATACTGATCATTGTGGAACACCACATCGTATCTTCCTTCTTTTAGATAACATTGGACCACACTGAAAAAACGAAATCGGTTAATGAGATAGTCCTTAAACTATTTAAGAGGTAACCCTCGAATACCATAACTAGATAGTTTACCTAGTAATACATTATGATTAATTGTGTCAAATGCTTTTCTTAATCGATGAACATACCAACAGTTACTTTCCCCTGATCTATATATTTCAAAGTAGAACTTATCAAGTTGATCAATGACAATTTAGTACTATATTTCTTTCGGAATCGATATTGATGGTAATACAATATATGATTTGTTTCTACAAGTTAGATTAATCTGATATTTATCTTCTTTTAAAAAAAACTTTACCTATGACAGTTAGAACCGATATTGGTCTATAATGCCTAGATCCTTGTGTAGAGGAGTAGCCTTTTCAATCTTTGTTTCATCTGGAACCCTGCCAGTTTCTAATGGCAAGTTAAATATGTATGCCAGTGGATGTGAAATATGTGGAGCACTATCTTTAATTATTTTCACTGGAAAGTTATTGTGACCACAGGAATCGTTGGTATCAAGTAGCAAAGCTCGACTTCTAACTTCAAATGAAGTTATTGGTTTCCAAAATAGAGATTGCTTTATATTCTCCCCCCAAAACACCGTATGCTGTATCTTTATTAGGTAATTCATTTAAAAAATTCGGTCCAATATTAACAAAAAAATTATTAAATTAAGTCAATATAGACTTAATATTTCGTTGAAAAGTGCCAAGCCGCGCCCATGCATGAGCAACATCAAAGTCACAATAACTCGACCCAACATAAATACTCAAATCAACCAGGCCACTACCATTTAAGGCAGGCAGCTGGCCTCGTCCTTTAAGGAGACGCAATGGCTCAGTAGTACAGCGGTAGTCTTGTAACTGGGAGATCCCGGTTTCGAAACCAAGTCGATGCGCTAGTACCCTTTGATGAGGCATTGAAGCCGTCGGTCCTCTGGTTGTTTACTAAGTACACACCCTTTCATAGCAGTCAGGTAAAATAAACCATTACACGAAACCTAACCAAACCGAACCTGTTATAATATGTTGCATATTAACGAGGAAAACGTATGCAACAATAATTCGGTAACAAGTTGATGAACTCTAATTCATCATATATTTTCTAAAAAGACAATGAATACATTAAGAACCAATTTGTTTTCGTATTAGGTTATCACAAGGGTTTGCATTAAAAAACTGCCCCAAGAAAATGGTACAGTGGATTTAATTTAGAGGGTAAACTCCTGATTCAAACAATGCTATTATCCAGGGCAATTTTCAATTTATATACTAAAAGAAATGGCAATAGATGGCAAAGATTCATGGACATATAGTAAACTATTATAAACCTTTACTAACCAACAGTGGCGTAATGAGCAAAAACGTTTTTTTTTTTTTTTTTTTTTTTTGGGGGGGGGGGGGGGGGGGGGGGGGGGCTGACAAAAAAATCTGCATCACCCCACTCTTACATGCAGGCCCCGCTGAACGTTTGTTCAAATTGGAGTCTAGGGACAAAGCCCCGGCGGGGGACAAGGGGTGGAGCCCCCGAAGCTCAAGGGGTATGGGCATCAGTGTCAGATCCAGGAATTTTCTTACGGGTTGGGCAAAAAATGGGGGTAAAATATATGTAAAACGATGAAGCGACCGAACGGGGCTTTAGCGGAGAGGGAGCGGAGCCACCAAGCGGGGATGGATCTGGGAGGGAGTTTTGACACCCTCCCAGAGTAGGAAGCATTTGCAATTTTAAAACCACACATTAGACGCATTTTCAGGCACTTCCTGGAGTAATATGACGTAAAATTGCTTTCTCATACCCCTTCCAAGAGTAGGGATCTTTTGCAATTTGAGAACCACATTTGGCGCATTAATGTCCCGCGTGAAGCGCGGAAGCTTGGATGTTTAATTAAAGTATTACTCTTAATCCTTGCCTGAATTCATTTTCGCCCATCCCGCGCGAAGCCCGGAAGCTTTCACGTTTCATTAAATTATTAGAGAAATAAGACTATTCGTTGTATCGTGTCCTTGTCTGAATTCAGATTCCACCCTTCCGCGCAAAGCGTGGAAGCTTTGATGTTTCATTTAATTATTACCCTTAAAGGAAACCAAAACCTTCATACTAAGTTACTTTTATTGTAAAGTTTAAGATGTTTGAAAAATATCAGTGAAAATTTGAACAAAATCGGGCAAGGATTAAGGAAGTAAGAGCTTTCTTAAATTACTAGTCACTAGAGGGCGGTATTCAATTTGATGACATCATCGGTAAACAACTCTCCATGCCTTTTGTACATCAAATTTCATGTTTTTCCTTCTTTCTTGTGATTGAGATAATGTACTCCCCTGAAAGCAAGATATAGAATGCAAAATGATATTCTACTTCACATGTTATGAAGTCGGATCAAGAACACAAATAAATATGAAGAAAACAAAAAATTGTGAAATTTTATGTACAAAAGGCATGGAGAGTTGTTCAGGGATGATGTCATCAAATTGAATACCGCCCTCTAGTGACTAGTAATTTAAAAAAGCTCTTACTTCCTTATTCCTTGCCCGATTTTGTTCAAATTTTCACTGATATTTTTCAAATATCTTAAACTTTACAATAAAAGTAACTTAGTATAAAGGTTTTGGTTTCCTTTAATCCTTGTCTGAAATCATTTTCGCCCATCCCGCGCGTAGCGCAGAAGCTTTCACGTTTCATTAAATTATTGGAGAGAAAAGATGATTCGTTGTACCGTTCTTGACTTTAATCCTCGTCTTAATTTAGTTGCCCCCCCCCCCCCTTCACGCGCAAAGCGCGGAAGCTTTGCCGGTTCATTAATTATAAGAGAAAGAAGACGAATCGTTGTACCGTTCTCGACTCCTAATCCTAGTCTGAATTCAGTTGACTCCCCCCCCCCCCCCCCCCCCCCCTCCCGCGCGAAGCGCGGAAGCTTTGCCGTTAAAATTAAAGTATTAGAGAAAGAAGACGATTCGTTGTACCGTTCTCTACTCTTAATTTTTGTATGAATTTAGTTTCCCCACTGGGCCCCTTAACGGTACACGTGCAGTGTTACATGATTTGTATATGTGTGTATTGCTAATGAGACAGGGCCTTATGGAAGACCAGTTTTTAATCTGAATGAGATACCCTGTATAAACATGTGAAATTAATAAATAAATAAATAAATGAATACATGTAAGTATGGAACATTCGTGCGCAAATCTTAGCATGCACAGCCCGAGTGTTGGGTAACATGATTTTCTCCCGGCAGTGCTTGTCGCATTAAAGCTTCTGGAAAGGAATTTTCTACTAGTGTTACTGTTAGTGGCCACTAAGGCCCATTATTGACTATAGAAAACATATGCTCTTCCTGGCTATTTGGGAATGTGTTAGTTTGGAACAGAAATGGAGAAACGCGATGTTGAAAATCATATGATATCACGAACATTTATAAATCACTTGTATGTAATTGAAAATAAACAAATCTGGCAGGCACCCAGTCACGTCGACATAGAGGACTGCTACGTGTGACGTCATTTTAGGCACTGCCAGTGCCCTAAAAGGACGTCACATGAAGCAGTCAACTTGTTCAGGACAGCTCTTTTTATTTATTTTAAAAGGAAGGAGGATAGGTGGAAGTTTCTGCCTCCTCCTCTAAATCCTCAATGGTCAAAATCAGAGCTGACATCTTGTCGTCGTCTCTTGATGAGGATCGCTATGATGAAGAGATGAACGACCATGATGGCGTGAATGAAGCCGACGATGATGAACACCATCGTGAATGACTGGGTGACATCAAACAGATAACCTAGGAAATGATCATAACATAATCATAAGTATTTGTCAAGGAATTGTAATATTAAAATTGCAAAGCGTGCTAAAATACAGTTTCGACCATAGCCTTTTAAAACTCCTATTAGTATCCTACCAGGTAGATCTTTGTGACAGAGTTCGAACTATTTGAGGCTACATGAATTGCCTGACCGAGCAAGAGCAATTTCCATAGACGCATCTTTCTCTCTCAACTATATATGACTCGTATACAGAAGCGCCGTCGATAGCTAACTCTCTTCACCTAAAACTCACGAAAGTCTTTGCCTGTTTGTAGCGACTCATTCATTCGCCTTACTTTTATTATACATTCATATTGTACATAATAATTTTCTATCACGGTACTTATTTATATTTATTATTCATAGCACGTGTAAACTTCCAATCGAGCATCGTGGTTCCGTGCACTCGTTCAGCCCGCGTATTTTCAACAACACGATTTTTTTTATTCACTCCCGCTTATTACATCCTCGGTCGAGTCAACAACTCCTGCTTACAACTCAGTCGAGCCAAGCAAGACGTCTGATGATTTTCTCTCCGGGCAGATTCTCTTTCGTGCCTATAACCTCTTTTACGGCAAGCAAACCCTTTCTCTGCCGTCTTCAACGGGTTGGCAGTCCTGCAGTGGAACGTTTAAATCAGGACCCGACATGGCTCTTGATATCCGCCGGGAGCTGCCAGTTTGTTCGTTCCGGTAGCTCTTTTCACACACGAGCTCGATTCACTGTAGCTCGTCTGAACCTTCATCAACGAGTTAGACTCACTGCAACTCTGATGATTTCACTTCAAAGGCCGGCTCATTAATCCATCGAGCAACCCTCTGCCCTTCATCACCACCGGCTTTGATGTCCACATTTCAACATTGGCCTCCGACATCGAGCGACTAGCTGCCTTCTCGCCTGTGAGCTTCATAATCATCATCATCATCACGAGCGTCAGCGTTGAGATTCTTCACGGCTCTTCAGCCACGACAACGAAGCAACATCTCCGCCATCAAGCCTCCGCACCATCATCGCGTGAGCACCTTCCTTCGTGTTACCCGTCATCATCTTCATTGGACTTTCGACGCCATTTCTATCAGTCGTAAGCTTTTATTCATGTCATTCCATTTATCCATGTCCATCTCATTACATGACCATTTAAACTCCGTGCATTATCTTTGATTCTCATTTATGTGATTCGTATTCTGAATCATTTATTCGCTAGCATGACAACACCTTGCAAGTGTTTAGTGTACAGGTCAGTACCTCAATAAAATAACGAAAAGGAAATTCTTGTTATCATGTATTTTATTGCCAGTGTGACCTTGCTTCCTCGTAGCTAAATTAAAAGAGAGTTATGTTGTGTGACCAGTGAACACGCTTTACAATTTCCATTCACAATACCACACATAATTTTAAATGTTTACTGATAGTGACGGAATAGTACTACTAAACATGATTACCAAGAGCTTTGAGAAAATCAAGCTAAGGCAATTTAAACTAGACTCGTGCGTCATCTTTTGAAATGTATGATTAGGCCTGACTAGATAATCTACCTACGTCTCTTAACTTAATAGAGGCCGCAGAGCGACAAGGAAATTGAACTTGAGACACTGGTTTCTCTATAACTTTCTGTCTTCAAATTTTCTATTTAGCTGCTCAAACAGCAATCCAGTCCAAAGCATTGATGCTGTCAGTCCATAATCCGAAAATGATTTATAATGGCAATATATACAATGAGGTATTGAACTTAAGTTGATTTCTCAAAGGTTCATCATGTTTAATAAAAAGAAGCTGGCTATGAATTACTCACCTGAAATCGTTCCTGCACATGTCGCCCCCAGTCCTCCCGCGAATAAACCGAGAGCCACGGCCATGTTAAAATTCCGATTGTCAAAGACTGCATCTTTGAATAAACTGGACATAATAGCATCCTCGATGAAGAAGGAGAAACCCTGGACAAAAGCCAAGGTAGCACGCACCGCGTAAGCAGAACTGATGAAGTCCAGCAGAAATGATGCCGTGCCGATGAGACCTATGGCGATGTAGACGACATAAACATTGATGCCTTTGCCGACGAGGATGATGAAGATGGTCCGACCGATGATGCCACCTATGCCGCCAATTGTGGAGAGGAAGATAGCTTTGGAAGGAGGGATTCCCAGGTGTTCAGCGTGGGGGACCAGAAACAGCATCCACGAATACATGGAGAAAAGGCACAAGAAATTAATCGGGATGGTGAAAAGATAGAGTGGTTCGTTTAATATTCCACAGAACCGTTTGCCGGTTTGAAAGGCGGAGCTTGTCCAAGATGAGCGCGCATTCGGGGATGTTTCCTGTGTACTGGTGTTACGTCTCTCGTTTTGAATCAAACGCCTTTTCTCTAAGACGCACTCTTCACTATCATCTTCCTCCTTATCCTCCTCTCTTTCCACTTCCTCCTCCTCCTCGCGATAACAGATGCCTTCTGTTTGCATTGAAGGCTCTCCTTTAGAGAGACACTTCTGTTTCTCTTTTACTTCATTATCACTTCTGCCTTCATTTGTAGCTGCGTTTCTTGGTGCTTTGCGTATCGTTGCACCGCACGCGAAAAGGTTTAAAGCAATACCGCCAAGGATAATAAAAGCCCCTACATAGCCATATGCTTCGAATGACCGTTCCATTATAATAGGGAGCAGCATGGATCCAGTGGTGTAGCCGTACAACGTGATTGTGTTTATCAAAACGAATTTTTCTCTGAAGAAATCATTCAGTGCAATCACTGTTGGCATGTAGGTCATTGACAAGCCAACACCTGTGGGAAAAAAATGAAAATGAAATATTCTGCGTTCGTCCCTGCTAGTGCTACTACTACTACTACTACTACTACTATACTACTTTTAATATTACTACTGAAGAATGCAGAATTGACAACAGACTTAACTCCGTTTCGTTGACAATCAGCTATGCATGAAGTCTTTCATCTACGGCTGATTGTCTACGAAACGGAGTTAAGTCTTTTGTCAACTCTGTTTGCTACTACGGCAGGCAGCCAGTAAAAACGATTTCGTTTGATAACATTATGGAAATGCAAGCACTACTTTAAACAAACGGAACTTTGGCATTCCTTGCTCATTTTTCATGATTGAGGTGTCATATGAAAGGGCAGAAACTCAACTTTCTAGAAATGTGATTTTCTCTATGAAATTCAGATACCGCCCGCCAAATGTTTGGTTTCCTCTCTTCAAATTGGTTTTAATCACTCATGCGTGAAATATGCACTATATGAGTTGCATCAAATGAAAGAAGAGTATCTAAGCTTTCCAAATATGTGTCATTTATCAATTATAATTGTGATTAAGTTATGATAAAACATCGATGATTCTCGGTTTCGTTTTTTCTTGGACGCACTGTATAATACTTAAACGCTAATAATGATAATAAACAAATAGTGAATGGTCATGAGTGCAATGGTACAAGATTTTGCCCGAGGTGAAAGATAAGAGACGCTATATTCAACGAGGCGCAGCCGAGTTGAATGGAGCGTCTCATCTTTCACCGAATGCAAAATATTGTTCCATTGCACGAATAAAGACCATTCACTATTTGTTTTATACAACACCTCGGACATTAACGGGCTTAACACAGTTTTCCTAGGCCTAAATCTCAGCGATTTTTGTTTGTTTTCAATTCATGAAATTGATGATAGTGAGCGCGCACTATCAAGCAGGCAGCAAACCTTTATGTTTATTGTTACGCGGAGTGCAATTTCGTTTGATCCTTTCGCACCATTGCACTCTGACGTCACTTAGCTTACCATATACTTTGTACATTCTTAGTGACTTCAGAGTGCAATGGTGCGAAAGGATCAAACGAAATTGCACTCCGCGTCAATGATGCCATTCAATGGTACTTTTAGCGCATGTCATGTGATCAAGAATTGACCAATGAGGTTGCAAGAATCTTAGTAGGCGTTGTATAAAATGGCCTATGGACCGCGGGAGTTATAATGATTTAGCAGCCCCATATGTTATGTATTTACTCATCACTTTCGTCAGCATATATGTGCGCCAATTCGTATATCTATCATTCCGTGTTCCTGCTCCAGTAATGCACCAGGTTATATTTTTTTTAATGAATGGAACTACGAATGACTTTATAATATAATTGTATTGACATAATGATATGATTCTCTTGATGTTCTGTCAAATTAATTCAGAAGAAGAAAACTTTTTTTTTTCCATTCAAGCTATCCACTTCAACCAGCCTCTTAAAGGTGAATTTGGAAGAAAGTGGTGAAAATATGCATGTTTGCTATTGTTGCAATGCTTATGACATAAGGAATACAAATAGATTGATTGACAGAAATTGTGCATGTGTTGTTAAATTATTATTAGACTTGGAAAGATCAAAAGTGTAAGCAGAGGAACCCGGAAGCGTTGATATTCTCCTTCGTGACGTAGTATATCCCAGATAACAATACGGCGTTGGGCCAACGTCGGCCACGGTCGGCAGGGTCGCAGTCGGCAAGCCAACGTTGGCTAATCGTTGGGCCATCGTCGCCATTTTTTACTGATAAATGGTGGCTATTGGTTGGCTCATTCGACGTTGGGCCAATGTTGGCTGAACGTTGGTCCATTGTCGCCATTTTCACTGATAAATGGTGGCTATTGGTTGGCTATTCGACGTTGGGCCAATGTTGGCTGAACGTTGGTCCATTGTCGCCATTTTCACTGATAAATGGTGGGTATTGGTTGGCTATTCGACGTTGGGCCAATGTTGGCTGAACGTTGGTCCATTGTCGCCATTTTCACTGATAAATGGTGGCTATTGGTTGGCTATTCGACGTTGGGCCAATGTTGGCTGAACGTTGGTCCATTGTCGCCATTTTCACTGATAAATGGTGGCTTTGGGTTGGTTATTCGACGTTGGGCCAATGTTGGCTAAATGTTGGTCCATCGTCTCAATTATCACTGATAAATATTGGCTATTGGTTGGCTATTCGACGTTGGGCTAACGTTGGCTCATTGTCGCCATTTTCACTGATAAATGGTGGCTATTGGTTGGCTATTCGACGTTGGGCCAATGTTGGCTGAACGTTGGTCCATTGTCGCCATTTTCACTGATAAATGGTGGGTATTGGTTGGCTATTCGACGTTGGGCCAATGTTGGCTGAACGTTGGTCCATTGTCGCCATTTTCACTGATAAATGGTGGCTATTGGTTGGCTATTCGACGTTGGGCCAATGTTGGCTGAACGTTGGTCCATTGTCGCCATTTTCACTGATAAATGGTGGCTTTGGGTTGGTTATTCGACGTTGGGCCAATGTTGGCTAAATGTTGGTCCATCGTCTCAATTATCACTGATAAATATTGGCTATTGGTTGGCTATTCGACGTTGGGCTAACGTTGGCTCATCGTCGCCATTTTCACTGACAAATGTTGGCTTTTGGTTGGCTATTCGACGTTGGGCCAATGTTGGCTGAACGTTGGTCCATTGTCACCATTTTTACTGATAAATGGTGGCTTTTAGTTGGCTATTCGACGTTGGGCCAATGTTGGCTGAACGTTGGTCCATTGTCGCCATTTTCACTGATTAATGGTGGCTATTGGTTGGCTATTCGACGTTGGGCCAATGTTGGCTGAACGTTGGTCTATTGTCGCCATTTTCACTGATAAATGGTGGCTTTTGGTTGGCTATTCGACGTTGGGCTATTGTTGGCTAAATGTTGGTCCATTGTCGCCATTTTCACTGATAAATGGTGGCTTTGGGTTGGCTATTCGACGTTGGGCCAATGTTGGCTAAATGTTGGTCCATCGTCTCAATTATCACTGATAAATGTTGGCTATTGGTTGGCTATTCGACGTTGGGCCAATGTTGGTTGAACGTTGGTCTATTGTCTCATTTATTACTGATAAATGTTGGCTTAATTTGGTTGGCTATTCGACGTTGGGCTAACGTTGGCTCATTGTCGCCATTTTCACTGATAAATGGTGGCTATTAGTTGGCTATTCGACGTTGGGCTAATGTTGGCTGAACGTTGGTCCATTGTCACTATTTTTACTGATAAATGGTGGCTATTGGTTGGCTATTCGACGTTGGGCTAAAGTTGGCTCAACGTTGGTCCATTGTTGCTATTTTTACTGATAAATGGTGGCTATTGGTTGGCTATTGGACGTTGGGCCAATGTTGGCTGAACGTTAATTGGTCCATTGTCTCAAATATTACTGATAACTGTTGGCGTTTGGTTGGCTATTCGACGTTAGGCCAATGTGGGCTGAAAGTTGGACCATCGTCTCAATTTTAACTTATAAATGTTGGCTATTGGTTGGCTATTCGGCGTTGGGCCAATGTTGGCTTCATGTTGGTCCATCGTCTCAATTTTTTTTTAAATGGTGGCTTTGGGTTGGCTATTCGACGTTGGGCTAACGTCGGCTGAACGTTGGTCCATCGTCTCAATTTTAAATTTTAAATGTTGGCTTTTGGCTGGCCATTCGATGTTGGGCCAATGTTGGCTAAACGTTGGTCCATCGTCTCAATTATTACTGATAAATTGTGGCTGTTAATTATTCGACGTTTGGCTATTAACGTTGGCTCAATGTTGGTCCATCGTTTCAAATTTTACTGAGAAATGGTGGATATATGTTGGCTAATATACGCGACGTTGGGCCAACCCGGGGGCCAACCTTGGCTTCATGTTGGTCTATATCGTCTCCATCTTTACTGATAAATAGTGCATGTATATATTGGTTGGCTATATGACGTTGGGCCAAAGTAGCAAATACGACCTAGTACCGCTACATCCGGGTAAAAAAATTGCATGCGTGCGCATGCCCATGTGCTCATGCAATTGCAACGTACGTCAGCCATATCCTGTCCGTTTGTCTGGATCAGTTGCCGGGGAGTACCAACACTGCATGGTAAATGAATGATTTTCTTTCTCTTTCAACGTTATTTTTGTGAGCATGTCGCGTGAAACTGATAAATTGTATAGTGTGAGAACTCCCCGTCACAAAGCGAGGGAAATAGCATGAGAAATTGTTAAAGTAATCATTGATAATTCCCTGTCCAAATGAAAGTGAAAGTGAGTATACGAGCTAGTGTACCGCGCTGAGTACGCTTAGCATGCACACCCGCTGCGTGCAATTGAAGTGTGAGTGATGGCTATGATGGCTATGATGGGGGCCGAAGTGTCGGCATCAGATGCATTGAGTGTTTGCCGTGATAAATGTTAATATGTTCCTGACTTAGAGTTAGACCTAGGTGATGTATTGATGCATCATGTTGCAGCGTCCGTGACAGTGATGATGTTCATCCCAATATGCAATATCGACCATGAATCAAATGATTGTGAATCTGTTGGTGTTATAAGTGTTGAAGGTGCTGATGCATTGTTGGAAAGACCAATTGAATCAAATAGAGCTGAATGGGAAGACGCATCATTTTGTATGCATATCTAAATGATATTATAGTCTCTGATACTTTCAGATTTAGAAGTAGGTCTATACTATACTCCGTAGTAGCTCAATATATTGTGATGATGATTCAGTTCGAAAAGGAATAAATTACGAGATTGAGCTGTGAATTAAAATATCCCGCTAGTACATGTTTCTAGCCTCCTGAAATCTTACAAGGGTGCCAAGTCTGCCAAAATATGCAAGAACTATGTATCAACACATTTAGTGGATTGTGAGTGTGATTTGAAAGAGGTAGCTGGTGGGAATTACCCTCATTTTGGCATTTGCAATCATTTAAAGTCGCAATTGGCCAAGAACCTCAATTTGATCAAATAGTAAATAGGAAAAAATATTGAGG